TTATTTTTTTCACTAATTGATTCATTGTTTGGTCTATTAAACATCAGAAAACAACGTAAAAGACGACAACATTCAGTCCAAGGTGATATCGTCAAATGTCTTCTTCTGTCCAGCCAATAGTCAAAAACAAGTATTCAATTTACAATATTGTAAGACCATATATATATATATATATATATATATGACATTATCTTAAATCAGCTTCATGAGGTAGTCACCAAGAATGGTTTTCAAGGTGTTCCTTGTCAAAAGTTAATTAGTGGAATTTCTTGCCTTCTTAACGCATTTGAGACCATCACTTACGCTGCTTCATGGTATTGTTGGTATACAGTAGATTGCCCTATTGGGCAACTGTACTAATCCATATTATGCCAAGAACTGCTCAACTAAGTAAAGAGAAACTTCAGTCCAACATTAGCCTACTGTAAGACATGAAAGTCAGTCTTTTGTTTGATCTTAAGTAGTTGGACTGCCATAGGAATACATTAATGTTTAAGATGGCTTGGCTTACACTGAGTAATCCTAAATTATGTACTAGAATCTGGAGTTCAATTCAAGAAGGAGAGATCAAATGGAAGTGAATAACAAAATTTATTGTGATAAGCAACAATGAGCTAGTGTGTGATACGAGCGATTGGCCTGCCCAGGTCCCAGACCCGGTCTGCCACCCAGTTTACAATGCTCCAGAAGGACTTTCGGTTACTTGTGGCAAACCATCCATAGTCTCAGAAAGGGAAAGCAGATCTTAGCCCAGGCCGTTTTCAGCAGGGGAGGAAAACTGCTGACTCCGGATGAGGATATTGCTGAAAGCTCTCGACAAACGAGAGAGTTCAAGTATCTTGGGGTCTAGTTCATGAGTTCAGGCAGGGTGGAGCAGGAGATTGACAGGCGGATTGTTGCACTGGACTGCTGTGGTGAAGAGGAAGCTGAGCTGGAAGGCAAAGCTTTTTTACCAGTTGATCTACTTCTGACCTTCACTATGGTCATGAGAGGCGGAATAATGTCAATGTTTCCAACATGCACTGTGAAAATGCAACTGTGCTGCCAAAATTTACACCACAAATATCATGACAGACAACAGAGTAAACTTCCAAGAGCACAGCAGAAGGTATTGGGGCAGGAAACTGAAATGGATAATCATCTGTAAACCAGCTTACCTGATAGAAGGCCTTCTAAAATCTGTTGTAAATAAAAGGCTTCTGGCCTGTTAACCTTGTGCGCTGTGCTAATATGTAGTTTTGAGATGAACTGAAAATACCTCTGTTGTACGTGCTGACATGGATTTGATCTATTCCATCCTTCACTCACTGATATGGCAAACCCTTGAGCACTTACTGTTAGCCTATAGGCTGCATAGTTATACACACACATATACACACACAGTCATACATACATTTTGTGACTGTCAAGAGTATATTCATGGACTCCACACCAGTAGAGGGACCAAGCATTTTCTTATCTGAGAGAGGGATAACTGACTACCTGAGCTGCTGTTGGTTATATTGGTTGTTTGGTTGGTTGGCTGGTTGAAATATTTTGCGACCCGATTGGTGCAAACCAAAAAGGAAGGAAGGAAAATTGAATTTGTTGAATATGGACTTACCTCCACCCAGGTCAGCTTTAAAAGGCGAGGAGCAACAGTCAGAGGCCGTCTTACCTCAATCCCGGAGAGGAGCTGGAGTGTTTGCGGCCCGCTGGCTTGCAGGCCCACCTGGAAAAAGGGCAGCTTGTGATATGGACAAAGGCACAAGAGCAGAAGTGACGGAAGCCAGAGTAAAATAAAGCGAGGAGAAGTCCACGAGTGCTGACTGACTGAGTGCTCTCCATATATACTGTCTGCCTTCGGCTTATGTTGTGACATGTTGAACTGGAGATCATTACGAGCTCAGATACTGGAGGGTTGTCGTGGGGCAACACGTGAATTACGACTCCAGATGCCCGCCGTCTTCCTGAGCTTTATCCACAAAACCACTGCCAGAAACAAACAACCGAAAAGGTGAGTAGTAGAGTGTGTAGGTCAGTGTTTCAAACGCTTTAGCGACTGCGCAATTAAGTCTGAATGACTGGGGGCTGATTTATAAAGAACGGCATCCAGCAATTGATTGGCTCGTGGGACGCGGGCAGAAAAATCATTGGTATAGATATGTTGACGTCACGGTTGTGAATGGAGGGGATCCATAGGGGAACGTGCAGAGCCCTTGAAAAGAAAGTGGGAAAATGGAAATAGGTCAGGAGTGTATTGCCAATGTTAACCCATAGAGGAACACTGCAGAAGAGGGAAGAGATTTTCCTTATACAACTTTTCCCTAAGCTTCAGTATAAAGGACATGTGTTGTTTCTGAGTGTTTTTGCCTTTTTTCAGTACAGCCTGTTCATTGAATACCTGGACAGGTAAATAATCTGATCTGTTAGTTTGGTAATGTCAGGCTGAAAACCAAAAGCCTATTGGGAAAAATGGTGAATGTGTGTCATCAAGGTGTGGAGTTACTGAAATGATCTTTGCCAGGTGTTAGCTCGTCTTACTGGAATTTGATTTGCAGGACATAGGTTTTACCCTCAGGAGGTGGCATTAGGGGTTTTAAACAAATTAGGTGTTTTTAAACAAAACGCAATTTTGCCTTTTACCAGATATAACTGTCCCCTGGTTTCTGGCCTTTCCTTCCTGTCACTGGT